AATTTTTTTTTTTTACAATTTTTTCTTATTTATTCTTTGAGCTACTTTATCTGGTTTCCAAAAACATTCAGTGTGAATTTTGGTGAAATTGCATTACTTTAGGGGAGAATCCGCACATTTCCCAGTATTGAGCCTTCCTTTCTAGGAATATGATACATATTTTCATTCATTATCTTTTATATTCTCTAGTAATATTTTAAACTTTTTTTCTATGAAGGGAGAAATTGGATGATTGGGAAATGGTGTTAGCACTGAGAAAGACAGGCTCCAGGAAAGTCAGGAGGAGCATTTGAGAGGCAACGTAAATAACTCACTTTTAGGAATTTTGAGTTTTAACCCACGGAAATATCCGGGTAGTCCTTCATCTTCTCAGCTCCGTGTGCAGGGGCCAGTGGCTGTTGGTCAGTGGAGATGTTCTGTATTTCTTCATCTGCTAAAGAGCCACCCTTGTGCCCCGCAGGATGCTTCTCCTAGAGAAGGGTCCATCACAGGAATGTGTCAGTCACAGTCCTCATCGCTGCTCTCTGGCACTGCCCTCCGGCTTCCTGGAGTCCTCTCTGAGTTTTATCCTCTTAAACCAATCTTTCTCAGGATGATACTTTTCAGGATCATAGGATGAGATTTAGCAAAGCTGGTATCTCTTTGTTGTTCTATTACATGTTTATCTTATTGGGTTTGGGGCTTCATCTGCCTGCCCCACTTCCTTTGTCTACGAGCCCATTAGCTCTGTCAGAGTGACCTTCCTCCACACTTACTCGTCTGTCTTCAGGACCCAGCTTCGTGGTGAGCCTTTCTCCACCACCTTCTCTGACCCTCTGGGCTGGACCCGGTGCCCTTTGGTGCTCCCAAGGCCCCACGTTTACTTGGTTCGCTCGTTGATTGCACTGTATTGAAACCATCTGTGCGTCTGCTGTGTCCGTTCCTGTTTCAGTATGCCTGTACCACTGTGCCTGGGACCTGTAAGATAGATAGGAAAGGTTTGTGAAATGCAAATAATCTGAACTACCTTCATGCCAGGACATAGAGATGGAGAGGTTAGACGGGTGGTTGGAAATCTTACAGCTAGAGATTAATATTTGGGAAGCATTCGTGTGGAGTGGCTGTTTGAAGCTTTAGAAGCGGATGGATGTGAGAAGGGGAGTTGAAAAAGAAGAGTAGTCAGTACCCCCTGCCCTGCCCATCTCTGACATACCTTAGGTCGGGAGGCTGGGTGTGCAGATGGTGTAGCTCAGCCTTGGGCCTCCTGCTGGCCACAGCGAGAACAGACTGGTTTTCAGCACAGTAAAAGCCACCGTGTGGCAGGTCTGGCAGATCCTTTCCCTTCCTGCTGTCAGTCCTTGCAGGGGCCCGGTTCCCACAGATTCCTGGAGCCCCGCGTGGGGAGGAGCTGGCCGTTGGGAGGGAATGCTTCCCCTCTGCTTGTTCTCAAAGCCACGGAAGCAGACGGAAATGTCCCCCTGGCTGGTGGGAGAGGTCTCACTGCGCCAGTACATTCCCTGCTGGGTATCAGAAGGAAGACTTCCATGCCATCCTCTGTGTGATGGTCTGCCAGTGCCCAGAAGTGTTGATATGTTTGGGTGCCATGGGCCAAACCCATATTTAGCAAAGAAAGAGTATGATCCACTGTGAGGGGGATTTCATAACTTGAGAGAGGGCGCTCAGACTGGGCGTTCAGCACAAGCACGATCAAATCAGAGAGACAGAAGAAAGCATTCGCCAGAAGAGATCGTTCTCACAGTTATTGTTCCTGATTTAAACTTTTCCTAGATTAAACACAAAGGACAACAGCCCCATTGAGAATGGAATTAGTTTTCTGGAAAGAGTATTTTGTAAAACACAAAGACATCAGAATGGTGAGGTGGGACACTAGCATTCCTAGAAGGGGAAAGGAACAGATGGAGGAGACATAATAAAAGGAGGAAACTCCTAAGCTGAGGATGTAGGACTATAGGCCAGGAGTCCTATAGGCCAGGTATAGGACTTGTGGAATTCTGGAAAAAGACATAACTTAATTGCTAGACTGCAGCAATAAAGACAGAAATCTACCAACTTCTGGACAGGAAGATGGGTCAGTTTTGAGGAGGATTGATGGCATCGGAGTGCTCGTGCATAAAAGCTGGTGGTGTCTGTAGGGACTACTGACTACAGAGCAGGAAGTCTTCTGTACCAGCCACATCGGCCTGACTTCTTACTTGCAGACACAGAAACTGATTTTGGGTGAATTAGCAAGAAAAGTCCATTCTTAAAGGATATTGAGTTGCTGCAGAACTGTCATAGGGCTGGAGAGTGAGGCTTGGAGGCTGCGGCCAGAAACAGGGCCTGGAGTCGCACACAGAATTGGCTCAGCCTGGGCCCGCTGCTCTGCACGAGCATGGACATTGCACTGGGCACGCTGGCACAGCCCACAGTGGGCACCTGGGCCACTGCCTGTCAGGATCTTGATCTTCCTACAACCCCCATAGCTGCCAGTGCGTATTTGCCATCATAGTCCTTGCTTTGCAGCGTTAGTTCCTGGGTCAGAGTTTGGGGCAGGTGTAAATAATGGCAGGTTCAAGGGGCTGAGGGTGGAGGTGAGGAAGCCAACATCGGACATTTTCAGCTTATTTAATGGGAAGCGGATGCTGCCTTCAACCCAGACTAATAGAGTGGTGATGCCCACAAGCATAGGAAAGAAAGGTTTAAAAGCTAGGTAGTCAGAAAGAATGCCAGGTACAAATTCTCCTGCCAACATATTATTCAATGAGTCATGGCAAAAGACAGATCTTTTTAGACATGAAGGATTTATATACCCTATGAGCAAATATTCAAATGTGCAATTAGATATATTATTTGAATCAAGAAGGATCAAGATAGAAGAAGAGGAAGAACTTAAGAAAATGTTGAGAAGTGAATCTTGCAAGTGAAACATTGTATTATCGTATCGTAAATCAGCGAGATAGATACGAGATGCCTTAATGAGCCAATTAATTAGGAGTCGTTTATTGCGCAGCCCAGAGGGAGGTGTTTCTTCCAAATCTCTGAGCGAAGGCACAGAGGAAGTTTCCTGTGTTTATACCTTTCGGGCTCTTTGTCTGCAGATTTTACAAAGAGCTCTGTGTGAGTTATTGTTACAGTTTGTAATCTTGGATACATAAAGAACAAACATTTGGCATAAGAATACAGGAATTATTATCAGTATTAGTCCATTAGGTTAGATGGCTAGCTTGCAAGATCAGACAGTTAAGGTTTTATCTTTATCTATTATTCAAACTAAAAAAGTTATTCTACAGAATAAGAAACTGTCTAAAAATGACAGAGTTTATAGAATAAGGGACTCTGACAATAGCAGAGAATTTCAAACAGCAGTTTTTATACAAGATGGAGGTTACTATGCTTCAATATACATAAATGGAGGAAACTAATGAGGCTGAAATTGATAATGTATTCTTGAAAAGAAAGTTCTCACATTCAGGGAAAATCTAGGAAATAGTGCAGAATTCAGAATTCTAGACTATCACAGCAAAACCCAGGATTGTGGGTGCGGGTCCAGCACTGAGAGGTGAAAGTTCTCTACATTAATCTTGCTGTTAGTGTTGGGGGTTGGGGGCATAGTTACTTGATTTTGACGAAGTTAGTTAAGGCTGTTAGTAATGATCGGTAACCACAAACAGGAAAGAAAAGCATAGTATTCCCAAAATAACAGATTGAGGATGATAGTGAGGAGTAAGCAGGTAGAAAGGAATAAGGAGGAGCAATATCAAATCAGCAAAAGCGAGGAGGACAAAAAGTTAAACAAGAGTTAATAAATAGTAAACAAAATGAAGCACAAAAAACAAAGCCAAGTATCCCCACAATAAATATTCTTAAGTTAAGCTCATTAAAAAACAAAGATCGGCAATATTAGTATTAGACAAAGGAGAATGCAAGAACAAAAGCATTAAAGAGGACAGAGAAGGACATTATTCACTGATACAAACTAAAAATATATAACTGTCCTTAAAGTTCAGCAATAAAATACATAGAACAAAGACTGAGAATAAAAGAAGAATTTGATTTTTTTTAAACCATATTATACTCGGAGATGTAAATTGACAGATCAAGGAACTTGATCGCCAACTTGGATGCCCACAGGGACTAGTTGGGCAACATGAATATGTGTTATTAGGAGTATGGCAGCGGAGATGATGGGAATTGCACAGTGAACTAGAGAATGTATACCTTGCCTAAAGGCATTAAGATTCATGTTTTAAAGCATTTAAAAAATCAATTTTTAAAGGATATTGAGTTGCTGCAGAATTACCAGCCAAACAAAACATATCTGTAACTTGCAGGCTGCCAGTTTTCAAACTCTGAAACAAATTCAAAAAGCCAAAATATAGAGGGTTGTTTTTTTTTTATTGTTGTAAATCCTCAGCTGAGGATACTTTTTCCATTGATTTTTAGAGAGAGTTGAAGGGCCAGAGGGAGCGGGGAGGGTGGGGGAGGGTAGAAGGGGAGGAAGAGAGAGAAAAACGAACAAACATTCCAGGATTGAACCTGCAACCCTTCAGTATGTGGACCAACGCTAACCACTGGGCAATGCCAGCCAGGGCAAAAATAAAGGGTTTTTAAATAACACATTCAACAAATTTATAGATGGGGGAATAGACATTCTTCCTAGATCTATGAATTGTTCACAGAACTTGATCACGTAACTTTGTCACAGAAACAAAAAGTAAAATACAGCCCTGGCCATGGTTAGAGCATCTGCTGCTCACTGAAGTGTGGCAGGTTCAATCCCCTGTTTGGGGAGGCAACCAATCATTGTTTCTCTCTCACATTGATGTTTGTCTCTCTCTCTCTCTCCTTCCTCCCTCCCTCCTTCCCTCCCTCTGAAATCCTCAGGTGAGGATTAACAACAACAAAAAAGTAAAAATATAAAAATTAAGATTTTATGTGCAATCTGTTATCTTAATCAATTAAATTAGTGTTAAAAAAAGATGATTATTTTTTTAAAAATATATTTTATTGATTTTTTACAGAGAGGAATGGAGAGGGACAGAGAGTTAGAAACATCAGTGAGAGAGAAACATCGATCAGCTGCCTCCTGCACACTCCCTACTGGGTATGTGCCCGCAACCAAGGTACATGCCCTTGACTGGAATCGAACCTGGGACCCTTGAGTCCGCAGGCCGAAGCTCTATCCACTGAGCCAAATCAGTCAGGGCAAGATGATTATTTTAAAAAACTACTTTGGAATTCAGAGACACATTTTAAATAATTTCTGCACTAAAAGAAAGTTAAAACAACAATTATAAGTCAGAGATAAATGGAGGAGAGCTTTGTAGCAAAATGTGTGGAATAGAGTTAATGCTGTAATCAGGAAAATGTATAATCATCAGTGCTTTTATTAATATAAGAAAGACTGAAAATAGATGAGCAAAATACTCACCATGAAACTAAGAAAGAAAACAAAATAAAGAAATAAATTAAGCCCAGCCGGCATGGCTCAGTGGTTGAGCATCAACCTATGAGCCAGGAGGTCACAGTTCAATTCCCGTTCAGGGCACATGCCTGGGTTGTGGGCTTGATCCCTGTGGAGGGCATGCAGGAGGCAACCGATCAGTGATTGTCTTATCATTGATGTTTCTCTCTCTCTCTTCCTCTCTTTTCCTCTCTGAAATCAATTTTAAAAATTAAATAATGTAAAATAAAATAACTATTTAAAAAAATATTTTTTTAATATAAATAATGATAAAAACTGAAATAAAATATAAAATGATAAAGAAGATAAAAGATAAAGCACCACTTCTTTGAAAAGACTTTGGAAACTTTCTGATTGAAGAAAAAAAGGAAAACATGTTAAAAATGAATAAGGATCTATTATCTCATGTACAAAAGAAATTAAAAATATAGTCTATAGTAATAATTGGAAAAACTGGAGGAAATGGAAGTATTATTACTGTTATTTAACATTGTTTAGTGTTTATGCAATAGGTCAAAAACATCTTTCGGTTTAAATATTGAAAAGAAAGAAAACCAAATTAATCCCAAGAATAAAGGCATTTGTAAGTGATTGTATATAAAAGAAATATAAAAAGAACAGTGGCTTTTTTTCTGTACTAGCAATAGCTGGTTAGCACTGGAAATTGAAAAAATAGCCAATTCACAGGTGTCATAAAATATCTAGGAATAATTTTAACAGTATTATAGTGCATAAGGTGAAAAGTATTAAATCTCTTGTGGTTCATAAAACAAGACTCAAAATAATGGAGAAACTACACTGCATTCCAGGGTGGGCTGATTTAATATTGTACAATTATTAATCTTCAAATTAATATGCCTGGATATCACACAAATTTCCCCCCATATTATTTCTTAGGAAAAAGGAAGATCCTTACATTCAAGCCTTACAAAGTGACACTTTTAACGGGGCATGTTCTTTTTTTTATGTTTTATTGATTTCAGAGAGGAAGGGAGAGGGAAAGATAGAAACATCAATGTTGAGAATTATCAACCGCCTGCCTCCTGCTCGCCCCCTACTGGGGATCCATCCCCCAACCTGAGCATGTTCCCTGACTGGGAATGGAACCATGACCTCTTGGAAGCAAAAATATAGAGGTTTTAAATAACACATTCACACAGAATTGGCCCAACCACTGAGCAGGTCATCACTCAGTCACTGAGCCACACTGGTGGGGCTAACTGGGCATGTTCTTAATTTATTCTGCATAGCAAAATAATATTTGGGGAAGATTGACTAAAATAACCTCATTTTGTTTTAATTTTAGAGTTTTGTAGAGGCCAACTGAGAGAATTGGTTTAGAAAAAGAGAGACAAATTTAAAACAAATTTAATATTTATTATGTGGGGTGTTACATGTTGAATTGAGGCATCAAAAGATTATGACAGTACAGTAAGTAGGTAGGTTGCAGAGATAACAAATACTGGTATATACCCACAGGAGGAATTTTTTAAAGTTGACCCAATATCATGTGAGTATGTATTTATGACTTGGTAAATTTTCAGTGACAGCGAGATATTGTCACTGGATTCAAAAACCCCAAATCTCAAAACAGCTTAGGTGGGTTTTGCAAATTCGAATAGATGGCTTAAAAGTAGCTCTAGTAATGATGAAGACAGTGATGTAGAACATGCAGGTGATGAATTTGGATAAAAATTTTCTTGAAAAATGAGTATGGGATTAATATTTCTAAATGAATATATTTTATATGTGATTTAAAATATGTACATCTAAATATAAATTTATTGTATTATATATTATATAATGTAATAAGGCATTATATATAATTATATATTAACATATAATATAATAAGTATTTAAGAGCACATTTTCTGTGTAAATAGGTAATACATATTAAATATTAAATAAACGTATATATAGTTGATCCTTGAACAACAAGGATTTGAACTGTGCATGTCCATGTATACATCAGTTTTTTTCAATAAATATAGAGTTGGCTTTCTGTATTGGTGGATTTCGTATTTGCACATTCAACCACCCATAGGTACAAACATTATTTTCAATCTACTAGTGGGAATCCGCAGATGCAGAGGGCTGACTATGCATTATTCTATACCATCTATACATATTAAAGGTTAATATACAGTGTCCCCTTGGGAGTTTGACTGGAGACCGGGAGTTCGATTGCTTGCTATGATGTGCGCTGACCAACAGGGGGCGGCACGGAACAAAGGAAGGCCCCGGCTGGCAGCCAGCAGCCTGGGAAGGAAGGCCCTGCTGGCAGGCTCTGGCCGGCAGCTGGAAGGCCCTGATCAGCCCTGATTGCTGGCTAGGCCTAGGGAGCCTACCTCTGCATGAATTTCATGCACTGGGTCTCTAGTTTTATATAAAGGACTTGGACATCCTTGGATTTTGGTATCCATTTATGGTGCGGGCCAGAGGGGAATCAGTCCCTCATAGGTACCGAGGGGGACTCAGAAGTTATTTGTGGATTTTTGACTGTATGGATGTTGGCACCCCAACCCCTATGTTGTTCAAGGGTCAACTATATATACTAGAGGCCTGGTGCATGAATTCGTGCACCAGGGGGATCCCTTGGCCTGGCCTGTGGGATTGGGCTGAAACCTGCTCTCCGACATCCCTGAGGGGTCCTGGATTGCAGGAGGGCACAGGCCAGGCCAAGGGACCCCACTGGTGCACAGTCAAGGCCAGGGAGGGGTGCGGGAGGTTGGCCAGCTGGGGAGGGACTGCAGGAAGGCTCCAGGGCATGTCTGGCCTGTCTCACTCAGTCCCGATCGACTGGACTGCAGCAGCAAGCTAACCTACCCATCAGAGCATCTGCCCCCTGGTGGTCAGTGCACATCATAGCGACTGATCGACTGTCTCCCCCCTGCTGGTCAGTGCACATCATAACGAGCGGTTGAGTGGCCTTAGCATATCATTAGCATATTACGCTTTGATTGGTTGAACGGCTGACCGGTCAACCAGACACTTAGCATATTAAGCTTTTATTAATAGGATAAGTATTATATAAATTAAGATAAGGATTTGACTATTTCCAGAATAAAAGCTTACTTAAGTTGATCAAGAAGCTTGTATTTCGTTTTATTTTTTATTTTTGCTCTTTGAGGAAATGGTTATTTTATATTCAGGGTCATTGTCTGTATTAGAATTAAATTTAATTGCAAGTAAAAAAAACCCCCAAATAATAATGGCTTAAACAAGACCCAAGTTTATTTCTCATATAAGGGTGGATGGTCCAGGCTCGGTGGTGTGTGGGCTCAGGCTCCTGGTGGTTTCTGAGTCCACTGTGTGAGACCCTGACCTCATGGTCCCAAACCTGGCATTTGCATTTCAGGCAGCAGGATGACAGAAAGGGTGAGCACTGCCCAAAACTGCTTCATCCAAGTGGCCAGGACCTGGTCACCCAGACACATGCAGCTGCGAAAGAGGCTGGAGAATGGCCAACAAAAAGTCACGGTGCTGAGCAAGAAAAAGAAAAGAAATACTGGGGTAGAACCAACCTCTTATTAGACATATGTAATAATTTGGGGGAAGTACTGCAAAATATCCTGGGTATATGAGGCACACAAATAGGGAAAAAGTAAAACAAATAAAACAAGAAAAAACGAAATGCCAAAAGAGGTGGTGAGACAAAAAGAAACAAACAAAAAAACAAAACAAAGATATTGAACATCACTATAGTCAGAGAAATGGAAATCAAAAGAAACCATTTTTCACCCATTAAAAGGAATGAGAACTCACCCTGCTGGTCAGGGTGTAGAGAAACCCATGCATTGCTGGTGCTGTGAATGATCACAATCTTTTTGGAACGCAATTCAGAGTAGCTATTGAGATTGAAACTGTTCTTTTTATTTTTTATTGTTGCCAGTATTACAGATGTCCCCCCTTTGCCCACCTCCAACCAGCCCCCTCGCCCCCACCCCACGGCTTTACCACATTATCTGTGTCCATGCATTATGCATATATGCATACAGTGTGTGTGTGTGTGTGTGTGTGTGTGTGTGTGTGTTTTGTTTTTAGCATTTCAAGTGGAAGTACTTTTATTTTAAGGCACCATAATATGATGGTCTCTCTAAGAACACTTCTGCTCCTTTTGTGAAAATAAAAAAACACACACAAAACCCCAGAAAGTCCTGTCCGGTGATCACAGCCACCCATCAACTTGGTTAACATGATTGTGTTCAACAGGGCATGAGTGGCCGGGGACCTGACACCACCATTACAGTCAGCAGCCTTGGAGCAGACCCCCTGCCGAGGCCCCGAAAGGACAGCGAGATAAACTGAACACTTCCTCCTCCTTCTCCTCCTCCTCCTCACCCTCACTTCTCCTCACTCCTCCCCCTCCTCGCTCGTTCCCCTGGAGTGTGGATGTCAGCTTGTGTTGCAAAGGGGCTGCCAGTTTGTTGGATGTCTTTTTGAGACCCGCTGCCGGGGTGGGCACTGTTCACGTGCAGGGACAGGTCCTCCGGTGTGTGTGTGTGTGTGTGTGTGTCCCGGCGCAGCTTGTGGGCACACTGCTCTGCACCCCTGGACTCTCTCCAGGGGGGACTCCGAGCAGCCTCGCC